AGAGATGTGTGCTGGGGCACGGTTTTTCAGCCAGACCCCTAGATGAACAGACTAAAGGATCAACCATGAGCTGACCAAGTTCTCTAAGGAAAAAAAATATGAATGGTAGCTAAAAATGCATCTATCTTTGAAAGCACTCAAAACTTTGGCAGACTAAATTCAAGTTCAGTTGGAATGAATTACATATGCTAATTACACATTGAAAAGTTCTCCATATTAGCTACAACTATTCCGAATGGTAGTAGGTTGTTATAGGTTGTTAAAATGGTTGTTATAGGTATTCCTCTGAAAGTATCGGCTTAGTGTACAGTACCAGTTAAAAAGATTAAGAGAATACTATAGAGAGGAAGGTAGAAAAATTTTATGTCCGGATAATTATGTGTGGTTCACTCTTTCTCAGTGTATGTATTTATATATCATATAATTAATCTATTTATATTAAGGAAATATTAAATAGTTTTATTACATTTTATTAAACTACAGATTTATTTATGGCAAATGGATATTTCCAAAATATACATTTGTATATTTAAATACTAGTAACAAAGACTTGAGAGGTAGTATTTCTTCCTGATGAGGGGACTATATTCCAGTGTTTTCTTCTAGATTAAGCAAAGTGGTTTTGGTCATTTGACCTTGATAACACAGAACTTGACTCAGTCACAACTAAACTTTAATTCTTACTATTTCTGTGCACTCAGCCTTAATTCTAGCTCATCCGTTCCCAGAAGCACCCTGATCTGCCAGTGCTTCCAAGGCTAGAACCTTCTCCACTTCTTGCCTGTCATGCAGCCTTCTCCCAAATACGAAATATAATCTCCTCTGGAAACATTTGCCAGAATCAGAACTAAATTACACAGAAGACCTTTATTGTCATCACCCCAAATCCTCACCAGGTAATATCTCTCAAAATCCAACAATACACCAGCCATAAACAGTAGCTGCTAGAACAGATTCACATCTTTTGGCCTTTGCCTTAAAGTGAGTATTGAAGTAAATTCTTATTTCATTCCACAAGGCAAATCACTGTATGCTTCTGATTCATAAGTGATTATTTAATCCAAACCTGGCCTTAGCCTGACAAGACCCATCAACCTCTCTGCCAGCTGGATGCCTGAACATGCATTATCTCCTGCATGCTTTTGCAAGTCCCTGGAAATCTAGGCTAGATCTCAACCTTTGTTTTGCTTTGTTTTGTTTTGTTTTGCTAACCTGGACTCTGACCAAATGCATTTCTCTAGCACTAGCAGAAACTGCTGGTGAGATCACAACTGAGGTAAAAATTGTCTAGCTGCAATGCACTACATCACCCAGCAACCAGTTTTGATGTCTGTTTTGTGATTTTTTGGATATTTGATGGCCAAAACCCTAATCTCAGCAGTAACTGCTCAAGGAAATCGAGTCTACACTATTTCTAAATTGTCCATCTGTACCCTCAGCCACCACCACAAAAAGATAGCCAGGCAGTCTCTTCTAGCAGTAGCCCTTAAGGAAAGGTGGTCAATCCTAGCACTACAAAAGACAACATCAATCAAAATTCAGTCCTAATCCAAATACCTCCGTCAGCCTCTGTACAGACATTTATCTGATCCAACCATATATATCTTTAACACAAAGCTATTGGCCCATCTAGGCCCTATGAACAAATCATCATGGTGATACCAGGGATTGAAAACCAACATAAACCTAGTCTGGTCTAGCTCTAGGCCAGCAGTGGTTTCTCCTCCAAACCAGACCAAAGTCTGGAGAACACCCTTTACTAGACCTTGTTTTAAACCCACTGCTCTTTGCTGCCTCACATCAGAGCTGCAGGAGGAGGGCCCTAGCTATGTAAAAAAACACAGCCTGTGAAATAAACTCTAACAGACTAGGCTTTGCCAGCATTAACCCTTCCCTGGCAATCCCTTCTCGCTATTTTGGTAAGCATGTAACTCAGGTGGTTTGTATTTGCAGTGCTAACTCTTTTAAATAGTCGTCCGGTGATGACAGTTAGCATTACATTATCAGTTGTAGATTCCAACTGACTGTATAGATTCACCCCGCTCAAAGAAGTGCAGATGTGTGACATGAAACTGCCCCTCCAAGTTTCTCTCTTTTGTGTCTGAAACAGACAGTATCAAGATAGGAGACTTTTTAGCAAAGACAGGCGAATACATGATCTTGGAAACGCAAGTGGCAGCTCTGTTAGCAAAGGACCTTTGTGATATTACTGCTCTATCCTCTAGATTAGTGTTAGCCAGAAAGACTGACCAGTAGGATTTTATCAAACATGACACTTTAATTTCTTTTAGGAGAACCCCGATTTTATTTGCATGAATCAGAATTTTATATTAAAAACATAAAAATAAGTAAATGCTCAGAATTTAGAAACAAATTCATGTGGAATTCAAATTTGTCGGCATCTCTTCCAGGTATCCGGCCTTTCATACATCAGAAGTTTATAATGGAGATATATAATTCTCAAACTATGATGATAAAAGATAAGAACATGAAAAGCTCCAGTTCTTCTCATATTCTGTGGTAACACCTTTACTTTTAAAAGAAAGCTATTTGACTGAATTATTTTACCATTTACATATTTTGTGAAAAGGTTGCCAAGAGTTTAGCATAGAAAGAATATATCACTGGCTATTAAAAAGTCAAGAAATCTAGCAATTATAAAATTTAGCTCGTGCAGGAACAGCACAAGATTTTTTCTTTCTGCAATTTTAAAGCACTCCATGTCACCAATAAAGGAATCTAAATGTCAGTTCCCACACTGAGTTTCTACTTCTAAATTGTATCTCTCTGAATAAGAGCATTCAGGGTCAACTGAAAAGGATTATCACAGCTATTCTGGAGACTGTGATCCTAAAACCAGAGTTCTGCTGCATCCACAAATTCATTTAGGTCTGTGCATAAAAACTTCCTTGTCCTGGGAAAGGAAATCTTGACACCCAGAGTTACTCCACTTTGTAAGGAAAACTTGATAATGCTACATAGAAACATTTCATCTGTTGTGGTTCATTTATGTATTTCTTTTGGCCAAAAAATTTATTATTTATTTATTTATTTTAAAAAGAAAAAATCTTCAAAAGTTGAGGGCAAAATAGTCATGGCTATATTACTAAGTATGATAACCTGTTGCCAGGTCTGACATATCTGAGAGGTGTGCATGCAAGTTGGTACTCCTGTATTAGCCTTATATGTATATATACTCCTATATCCAACAAAAACTAAGAAACAAAGTATCCAGAAGCTAAAAAACTTTGTTAGAAAAATAATTAAATAGTATAAAATAACATTCTTGTCTCATGAAGTAATATATAAAATATCTTCTATAGCTGTCTATGAAAAAAATAGCTGTGATTCAAATGCAGGACTAGATTCAAAGTAAAATCTGATTCTAACTTTAGAAAAGATCCTACAACTGTGTACAGGGGTTTTGTTTGTGCATTTTTCTTTACACATTTAAGACAATGGATATGTCATAAATTAAAATCTGCTAAGCCATACTACTATGACTTTCAAAAGGTGCAAACGCATAACACAACAACTTGAATAATTTAATCTCATCTTGGCAGTGTCTGTTCTGCCCATACCTAGCCAGGCTGTATCCTCGTATTGACCAGAGAATCGTCATACAAGTAGGGTACTGCTTTTGATTTAACCAATGCTTCTTACCTGGCTTTGATAGAGAAGGAAATGAAAGTACCAAGGTATAAAAGTATTTTCCCTGTCATAAAAGATAACGGTGGAAATATCAGGAACACAACCCAACCCCTCCTTTACCATTTCAAGGCCATTTTCTACATGACCAGCTGTCCCCAACAGGTATGTTCTAACTAACCAGTCTGCCTTAAATCCATAGACAGCACAAATCATGCAAAAGTGATCAATACTGTTTACGTCACACATATTCTTCACCTGGATATCATCTGTTATACAGGTAAAATTGTTTTAGACATTTTGAATCGACCAGTATCTGTTTTATCAAGGCATTTTCATTCTGACCTTCAAAGAGAAAGGAATGCATTCTTCAGGTCAGGCTTTTCCTTGTGAACCAGTACCAATAATTTCAGCTCACTTTTTGTGCTGCTAATAGATCAAGATGGGTAGGGCACAGTTCACAGGCCTCTGCTGCTTCCTGAGCTAACCCATTGCAGCCCAGCTTAAAACAACACAATCACTTTTCACATTTTCCAGTTCACTGTTCAAACTTCTAGCTGCCATCAGCTCTAGGTTAAAGCAAATGTCATCTACCTCTGGGGCCCATGGTGAAAAATTTATGTATTCCTGGACATGATACAGGTTTTACAGTTTTACAGCTGAAATCCTTCAAGTTCCTTGGACCTACTGGAAAAGGATTTATTTTATTGTAATTCCCAAATGTTCATTTTTGTATGTGTGTTTTCCCACAGAATGTGTGCATTGCTTCCAGCAATGTGTTTTATATTACCTGGAAGAATAGAAATGCTCTAATGGGAGGAAACAATTTTATTCTTATTGCCAGCGCAACACAAGACAGAACTTCAAAATGACACCATGGCTTCTCATGCAAAGTCATCCCATTTATTTTGGAGCTTGGGGACCTCATTCTGCACTCCCTTACAGTCTTCTGTGCGATTACACTAGTATATACCCCACAAATTGTGGGCCAAAGGTAAAGACTTTCTATTTTTTTGCTTGTCACAGACAAAGCAAGACACATGTCTTTGATTTATACATACCTCAGCAACACATACAGAAATTAATCTACCTTTTCTTGTAATTAGTTCATCTTTTCTCTTTTGGACACAAATTGGGTATGCCTTTCTTGGCATAAATTCAGTCTCTCTTCCAAGGAGACTTTCATCAGATATTTTACTGTAAAGAATTTTATGTAGAGTTCAAGAAGCAGCCTGGACTAGGCTTTGTGGTAAATGTCTACTGGAAAAATAAGACCTAGAAAAATCACTCTTATTTTTCTACTGCCTCTTGTCTTAAACTGCTTTAAGAGGTGAATGACCAATGACTCTCACCTTGATAGTGAAGTCTGCAGTAAGAGGTCCAGATATTTTTAATATCTCCTTGTCAGGAAACTTCTGGAAGTCGATGCTGGAATTCTCAAAGAGGAAGGAGCCTGTTGAGCTGAGGGTGTTTTCACTCATCACACCTTGGAGAGTCTTGGTTTCCAAATCTGACAAATACAAATTAACAGGAAACTAGAGTATTATAATTTGAACAAAGAGTAAGTGAGAGCAGCAGAAGAAAAGCAGCATGAAACAGTGGTGGTTCAGATTTGCCTCTTAAATTAGTGATAATGCAACTTTTTTGTTCTTTTCCAGAATTTATTCATAGTCTCATTCCATTTTCTCCTCTGTCTGTGTTTTGGCTTTGTTCATCCCTTAGATTTCTATCTTTGCATTCACCTCCTTGTCCGTAGGTCATATTTTTACCCTCTTCCATTAAACCATTCCTGGTTAGGCATATTCCTGTGTGGAACATGACACAGACCTTTCGCCCATGAGTGCTGGCTGTGTTAAGTTACTGCTCCCTCTTTCAATTCAAAGGTGAGTCACTAACCACATGTTGCTGCGGTACAAAATTAATTGAAAACAAGACATCCAGCAAAGAAAGATCAGAATGACAGCAATCCTGCCCCCTGTCCAGAAGTAGTCTGATCTATCCCAGAGAGCAGGAAGGGAAGGCAAGTGCTGAGCCATCCTGAGTTCTGTCTTTGGCTCTCTCTGCATCCACGGCTCGCAAAAATTGGGCATTAATTCAGATAGTTTGGTAGCAGTTACTTATAATAGTAAACTTACCAAAACATTTATTAAAGGGAAATCAACAGTCAGAAAGTAGATAAGTTCCATCATTTAGCTAGCCTCCCCAAAACGCCTGATTATGCTTTATAGCATGTTGACCAGAAAACTGTTTTTGTAGTTATTTCGAAGTGACAATGCATTTCATGGTGAAGGACTGCACAGATGGAATCCTTTCAGATGTATTTGCGAAATTATTCACCAAACCTTCTCCCACACAGAAAGGCAGGTAAGGCAAAATATGAATTAGATGGGGACATACTATTAATCTCTGATGGAATCATATTTTCATAAATAGTAAATGGGAGAAATGCTTTTATTAGCAAGTTAAGTAGGGGGAAAAATATAATTGCAGTAATTAGACTGTTTTTCAGGACAGGTATTGGGAACTCATTTGTAAAGGAAGTTGCTGAGGTAGTACACTAAGAATTTGATCTGTAATAATGAGTTCCTCAGTTTTCAGTGAGACTAGTGTCTTCCTTTGTGGTGCATTTGGCCATATATATTTATTTCTGGGCAAGGCTGCATGTATCAAGGATAAAGATGGTTTTAAGACTTGTGTGTATATAATCGGCCTCCTGTTGACTTGTCCCACAACCAAAGTTCACCGGGCAAAATACATTCTCCCCCTCAACTGACTGTAGCTCATACATACATAAAATACTTTGATAGGTGAACAGAAAGATTCATGGGGACATCTGAAACAGGAAGATGTATTTGGACTTATTCATGTTTACATAGAGCAGTAAAATTAAATCTCATCCAGTGACTCAGGCAGACCTTGCTGATTCAAATATTTTTGTCCTGAAATGTGACATGGCCTGAGTAAAGAGAGCTTTAGCTCAATCTCTTCTGCTAAAATCTAATTTATTTCTAAGTTGTCTTATAGCTCAATTGCACTGAAAAAATAATAAAAGTATTATTTTTTTTTTCTTCCTTGGAAGAGAACTGGGAAAGAAGAAAGGAGAGAAAGGAAGAGTACAAATCATTTACTGGGAAAGTAATAACAACTGAACTGGAGTTGCCCAGGAATACCCGAAGGACCACTTAAAACTGCAGCACAGGCAGCATTTGAACTTAAGAAAAACATAATATATTTTTTCTTAGTTTATAACCTGTAATTTGCTGGTCTTTATTCACAGCTCTAAATCTAAAGAACCATTAAAAGGTTATGGCATTCCCTCTGTTACTGCAACATAAGCAGTACGCTACAGAAGTGACAAACCACTCCTTATTTTGCCACTCAGTGTAAGTTCTCTGGTCAAAAGAAATCTGCAGAGAACGGGATCAATTTTGTGTTTCACCTCCCTGCTAACACTAACGTTTGTACTTACATGACCAACGTAGAAGACTCTACCTGTTCCATACTGCACGAAAGTCCTACCACCTTTTGGAAAAGGAGTAGGGGAGCACTACTTATCTTACAGTAATATGTGCTTCTGAGAGGTTATGCAGTACACTTTGGGGTTTTTTTTGGCAATAAACCCCAGTTACCAACACTCCAGCATTCATTTGTTGTTAATGAAAAAATGAATAATTTGTGAGTAGCTACCAAAGTGGAAGGTAAGAGGGAGGGATGAAAGAAGTTTCTATTCATTAAATAAGTGGATTTGTCTTCAGCTCTCACAGAATATTCTCAAATCCTGAGAGTCTTCTCTCACAGAACAGGCATACACAGCTGCTGGGAAACACTGTTCCCTGTCAGAAGAAGCAGGCAAGTGTTATAGCCACCATGCATTGTGCTAGCAGCACTCAGTGGTCTTAACTCCTTGGAGAACTATCACTACGGAGGATCATCGTTTGACACACGCATACTGTTTCTGTTCTGTAACCTGATTTTGTGTGTGTATGCGTGCGCGTGTGTGTGTGTGTGCATCTGTGGGAGTGAGAGAGATTATCATAACAGAAATGTGTTAAAGTCATGAGCAGCCTGATGGCTAAGATAAGCTGTAGGGAAGCTTATATCTTACTGTCTTCAATAATTCTTCACTCAGTGGGATATATTTTATTAATTTTAAACAAAAGCATTTGGTACCAAGTGAGCCAGCCAAAGGATAAGCAAACAGAAATGACTGAAAAATTATGGAAGAGCAAAGGATTCTGCAACGTTTGCCAAGCTCTGCTCTGAAAAGAGCATGTACCACCAGTGTAACTGGGTCCAAGGAGAGCTTCTGAGTGCAGGACTCATCCCTGTGTTGAAATTGTGATCTGAGAGAAGGAAACCAGACACTACAGTGTAAACAGAGCACTGCGGGTTAGCAAGGCTTTCTTAAACAAATCTACATCAAAATTTTCTACTTACATAAATGATCAGGTCCTTTCAGCACGAGACGAACTTGCCTGCTTCCATAGGGAATAGCAACCACCACATCATCCACTGTGGGAAGTCAAAAATGTATGGAGTTAATGAGAAAAGAGATTGCCATTTGTTCTCAAGTAAGCAGTGAAATAGGTGCTTACAAGGCAGTCAAAAGAAAAGCTTTTGGACCAATTAAACAACCTTACGAATTATGAGAGAACACTAAAAATCTGAAAAAAAGAACATATTAACTTTGGCAAGGCCTTTCTACTTAGAAGAAACCAAACCGGTTGACTTTCTTTATTCTCAACTCCTTCACAATCATTTCTGGATTTGAAGAGCAAGTGATGGCTTTCTATTTCAGTATAATCCACTTAAGCTTCTTCCGTCTTTTGAATTGTTGTTTATGGTGAAGTGGGGAAGCCTACTCTGATGTTCAACCAGAATATCCATTTATTCAGTTGATTCTTTCCCATCTGAACACTACAGCTTCTCCACGACCCTTCTTATGCTATGCGATGATCTCCCACTGCCTCAAGTATGCCTTCTCTTTCATACTTTTTATTTTAATGACTAGAAGTGCTATAACTCTGCTTCCTTTTCCACACAGAAAAGCTACTGGAAAAGCAGAAGCCCATTAGACTGCCATGTAAACAGGTCTTAGAGCAGGATCTTGCACCTATGAAGCCCTTGGGAGCCTTGCCAACTGGATTTAAACTGAGGTGTGAATTAGTGTGTAGGTCGCTTGTTGCTGTGAAAGTTAGGTCAGCATTTCTAAAGAGGAAACAAGCTCAGTAATGTGCTGAAGGGAGACAGGAAGGAAAGGTGTGGAAAGATGAAAGAAAATGCTTGCAACTCTATGCCTGGGTCATGGAATGGGTGCCCAGAGAATGACGACCTGGACTAACTAGCATGTCTATGTTCTTCATTCACCTTTCTCTGTCCTCTCTCACTTTTGTCCTATATTTAGAAGTTATGTATGCCTAAAAGGACTTTTTGGGGAAGTGGTAGACACAAGAGGAATGAAGCCATCTTGACTTGCTGCTCATTAGAACTGCTTACATGTGTGTTCTGCAGTGCCCACTAGGAAGAACTGTAGCTTTGCCCTCAGAGCAATGTGTTCCTTTGTCAGGTAAGGCTAACTCAAACCATAAAAGCATAGTATCTTTCATCCAACAATGTGAGCTGGGGCCTTATGTTTCTGACTGGACCAAACTTGGGAAACTGTTCCAGCCTAGCTAAATCAGGATTCTGAGTTACCAGCAAAATAATTATTAATATTGTCATTTTATGCCAAAAAGTGAAGAGAGGCAATATAAAGAGGGAAAGCTACAAGAAGCAGGGACTTCTGTAAAACAACACATTCATTCAATCTTACAATATCTCAGAAATGTGAACTAGATCCCTATTAAATTCAGTCATGTGCCACAGGAATTTCTGACACTCTTATACTGGACACCTTTATGGGATGAAATATCCATACTTCTGTGGCATCTTAATATCCCAAATATAGGGAGTATGATAAATCACTGGGTGTCACAAGAGGTGTGTGGAGATAAAACCTGTTCATGTGCTCAGGGTCTTCTGAACCTTATCTCCATTTTGAAAATCTAATTTGATATGCTTCTTCAACCTATCCAGAAATGTAAGTGTCTCCTAAGACTCCTGTAACACTGGGGTTAAAGTGTATTCAACACACATTCTGCTCATGCAGAAAAACTTTGATATCACTTCAATTAACAAAGACTGACATCTTTAGTTTCTACTCAGAATTCAACTTTTTCTAATTGAAAAAATAAATATTCTAGTCTTGCAAAATCCATTAAATATTGAAATTCTAGTGCTGAATCAATATACCTAGTAGGATAAATACATTTTATCCATTTTAGGAAAGAAAATTCATGAGTATGACATCATTTTGCTTCACCTATGTGAAGTTTATGGGAATAATTCTTCAAAAAATATTAATGTTGTTTTTACAATTTTATTCAGATGCAGTCCCATGTCATTACTATATTTGACTGCCTATCAGTTACGAGCTCTGTGCTGGAGAGTTGACAACTCACTGATATGTCACAGAAAAATCGACAGTTTAAAGGTTATGCAAACTTATACATCAAATACTCTTAGCATGTTTGTTCTCCCCCAGGGTATTGCTAAGACTTTATTTCACCTGATCTTGTCATTGCTTTCCATTTGATTATGTTAAATGCAAAGCTCAGTGGGATTTATGCTTATCACAGTGCTTCCTGCTTTCACAAAGCAGAAGCTGGAGGGGCTGAAGCACAATTTCCTGAGGTTAACAGTGATAAGGATGAGACATTTCCTATGAAGAAACATATGAAAGCAAGTGTGGTAATATTTAGTCACAGTTCCCTCCAGCAATAAATAGAGAGGTAAATTATGGAAGAGTTTTGTGGAGAACTCTGCAGAAAAAGCTCAAGTGGGCCATTTGGTTTGCTGCAGAGAAGATGCAGAGAGAGGCAGGGGACAGTCCCAAATAATGGAGAGGACAGCAGCCCAGGGCTGTGAAGAAAGTGCAAGAATTTCAGCAAATGTTATATGTTAGGTACATACATCATATTCTTGTGAGATGTTGTCCAAATAGTCTGTCAGTTGTCATGATGAAAAATGGAGATGTTTCTATTTCCACCATTATATTCACTGAAAGTCTGGAACCGTATCTATTTTTGACAGTCATGGCAAGAGTGACCAGGTAAATATTATGCCTTAGAACAGTAATTTCTACCTTTTTCTGTCTTTTAAAAGTAATCTTCTCCACTGCTAGATGTCAATCCTTTTTTTATAGAAATACTAACTTTGCACAAGGTAGTCAGTAGAACTCACCTGCCATTTATGAGATCAACTCTTCAGCTTCTTGGTGAATACAAAGAAGCCTGCGTAAATACAGCTTATTTCCATAGAAGATACACTTTTTCCAAAAGGAAATATTACAAAAAAAAGAGGAAAGATTCACTTCCTGCAGACTTAGAAAGACTGAACCACCCAAGCTTAGGACTAAGGGAAGAGGATATTTGAGGAATGAATGAAATCTGTTTCAGCTTGGGGGTTTTTAAAGTTTTTTTTAATAGAAACAAGAGCATAGACTAGACACAGGTGCTTCCTTTTACATAAAAACTTAGGAGATAATTCAACAACTTATTGTTGCCTATCCTGCTATGATTCTGTTTCTGACGTTTCTGAGGCCATTGGGAGATGTATATTATCCCTATAAATACCGAGGAAACTGTTCCCATAGCAAGTGCTAAGTGTTTAAAGGCTCTGTGAATTTCTTTCTAGTACTATCCTTCTCTTATGCCTTCCTGGGATATAAACAGCATGAAGAAGGGAATTGGCTATGAGCACCAAGAGAAAATGAATTCAGTAAAATGAGCTCAAGCATGTGGGGAAGTGCAAGTCTGTCCGTACCCATCCATGCAGGCACATCTTGATGAGCCCACCCTAGGACTGAGTCACCATGCTCACCATGCAGACAGACATACTGCAGGCCTAGGTCTGGGAGGAAGCACTGTGCCAGGTTGTCATCACCATCCCCTGGGGTTCCCCTCTGCTACAGGGCAGCATAAACCTCTCTGATCAGAACAGGACGGAGTGCTGTGCCTGGGCACAGCTGGAGGTAACAGATGGGTAGAGCCAACTCTTCTCATTCCCCCACTCCTCCCAAGCAACTAGCTAGCTGAGATGGGGAATATACTGGTGAAAGCTTCCCACAATTCTCTGCCCACCCCCACAGCCAAAGCTGCTGCCTGAGCATGCCTGTTTTAACTCAGGAGGGAAGAAACGATGGGGACAATCAGACTGATCTTGATGATTCAAACGCCCGATAAAGAGTCGGGTGAAACCCAGCTTGCAAGAAACATGTATTTCACTAAGAAGGGAAAATAGCACTTTTCCAGGAGGGACATCTTACACTTATTTGCTGAGAGCTGCGACTTATATTGGCCTCGAACCAGCCGGCAGGTGGACCCATCGCCATTGCAGACCCCACAGTTGTCTTCCTTGACAGAGCTTCCCAGCTGGCGGTCACAGCCAACGATCTGGCAAAAAAGAAAGATGTGCAGTTCAATGTGAGCACCTACTGACTGACTGCTCGATCCATCTCTGCAACTAATTACTGCCAAATTTCTTTCTCAGCATCTCTAGAGGGCCATAAAGTAGCTCAGCAATGAAAGAGGCTGAACAAATCTGGCTGGGAGTTTGAACTGAATTCAGACGTGAGATAGTGAGCAGGTTAGTACTCAATGGCTTTTGCAGTCCAAAGAAAGAAAAGAGTATTGTTGGATGTTGTTTTTTTAGGGCATTGTGAACATTTCTTGGTCAGAATCCTATCAGAAATTACACTTCTTAGAGTTTCACAAAGGAAAATGCTTGAAATAGAAAAGAAGACAGATAGGAAGCAGATAAATAAAAGTAACAATCAGCACAGATAAATGGTAACATGGCTGAGATCTCAGTGAAATTCTACCTGCTATGCAGTCGGGAAAACCATGTGGTTTTAATTAAGTTTGACAATAATCCCATTCCGCACTATCAATGCCTGTGTTCAGACACTGTTAAAAATCTGTCAGAGAAGGAGGGAATAGTTAAAACAAAAGAACTCAGAGTCAGAAATGCAGTTACCTGCTCTGATACTGGCCTAGTATTTATGTGAAAATTATTTGGTTTAAAATTTTAAAACTTGTATAGATAAATTATGCTTCTCAGTTTGCAGAAAAAGTACAGTTCCGAGGAGAATCAAATATAAAATTATAATGAAATAAATTTTAAAATAAATAAATAGAATAGAAATTAATTTAGCATAGTGCTAATGCTGGCCTGTATTCTGCATCCAAGTTATGAATTTTGCACATAAATAATTGAAATAGAAGAAATTAAGCAAGTCCCTGCAACGTTACAGTTACCTTTGTATATAATAGAAAATGAAAGGCCTTCTAGCATTCTGGCGTGCAAAGCAAGTAAGTAAAAAACATTTGTGTATAAGTTTTAATTCTATAGGCTTTGTGCTAAGACACTTAACCAAACAGAAGGTATATATAAACACAGGAAATTTTAAATAAAGCGGTTATTTCAGCTTTAAATTTTCCTGTGTCTGTGAGTTGCAGTTCAATCAGAGAGCTGGGTCTTAGAAACTGACAAGAACGAATAGGGTAACTATCATCCAAGCTTATAAAAGCTGCATGTGTAACTTGCTTACTTTAACATAATATTTCTTATTTGTACAAGTCTACATGTGCAGAACTGCATATCTCTTCTAGGATAAGATATACTTCTGGGTTTGACACTTTCTCTTCACTTGTCTGTGAAAAGTAAGGCTTTGATTAATATTCAATGCCTAGTTCTAGCAATTCAATTCCCATTTCTAACATCATTATTTTACTAGTGGCACAATAATAGTTTCCTTGGTTATCTGTGATATTGATTGTGCAATTAATTTAATTCAAATGACTATAGGTTTAGATTAAGGCTTGATGAAATCTGTTATCAGATTTCTTTGACTTTACCCACTTTTACTGGGTCAGAACTAGGTTGGTGTCCCATCCTTCTGCATTATATTATGATGTCTGCAGGGGAGGTAGTGAGAGCTAGCGAGGTACCAGTCACACACAAATAATTTGTTTCCTTGAAAACCTAATCATACCAAGAATGCAAAAGACATTTTGTCACATTAGAAACACCATGCCAAACAATGGTTAGATAGCTTAAGGAAAGATTATCTGGATTGTGACTACACACAGACCTTCCCAAGTACAGATATATAAATTACATATCAGTGATGTCATGTAAGATTTAGGTCTTTTTTTTTTTTTTTTTCTGAATAAGAATATTCCTGTAGGACCTGAACCACCTTTAATATAAACAGGCTGTTTTTCTTCAGCTTTCACAAATGTCCCTGTGTAGACAACATGTGAAAAAAATGCTTGATCTGAAAACTGTATGACATAATGACTACAAACCAGATGAATTTCCCTCAAGCACAGAGCAACTCACTGGCACTCACAGTAAAAAGGGTCCTGCTGAGGACGCCAGATATGGGAGGACAGAACATAACTCCCTTTCATATCTGTTCTTAGCATATTTCTGTTCACTCAACAGTTCAGTCTAGTTTGGTATACAAATCTACATGCCTTTGCTTATTTTTAAAAGGATATGTGAATTGCCTCAATGTGAAAAGGGCTGGATCTTAAATCCAGATATGAGGCAACCAATTTCAAACCCAGTTTTCACTACTTTAAAGCCTTTTTAACTTTATGAATCATCAGCTCACACATTGCTATGGGCTGTACTCTAATTAAAGTTAATTTATAAATTGAGCAACTTGGAGCTAGATAACATCTTGCAGAGGAAACTGCCAGGAAAATCTCAGGTGTAAAAGGAGGTTTGATGCTTTTTTTTTGAGATGGACAGCCATTGCCAGTGTATAGCATAAAAATAATTATTTTGCTGAAATCTTGTATTTCAAATGGAAGTATGAGCAAAGTGGAGAGCTCTTGTGACAACTAAAAATTATGTGGTATGTACAAAATTTGTTTTAACCTTCCTGTACTTGGTAGTCTCTCACATAATTTTATGCTATAGGAAATTTTGATGAAATTAAATAAATTTCCTATTTCTCCCAAGGTTTTGGTGGAGCTTTATGTTTTATTCTGTTAGATTATCTCTTTCAACAGACATCCAGAGCTCTGAGTATATGTATGAAATTTTTATTAAAAATCCGTTTGAGCGATTAACTAGCGCCTGAAATAAAAAATACTCCCAAGTTCACTACTTTTTTAGTTCTTCTCACCCCCTGGCCCCCTCCCCCTTCACTACCTAGGGGAATCCTTCTTCCATCTTTTGGAGGTAATTACATTCACTAAAAAGGCTGGTAGCATTTGCAATGGGGTTTCTGATGCTTTAAAATGGAAAACACTACTCCAGATCTCTTCTAATATTTTTTAGTGGCTCTTATGTGAAAACATTACATAGGTTGGACACTTATAAAAGCAAAAATTCAGTCAAGGAAATCTTAAAGGGCTGCTGAAAAAAATACACCTTCATGAGAATAATAAGTTTTGTCTCTATGAGCAGAAGAACCATAGGTTTGGCTGAGTTGATACGAGAATATGTCATAGAATCATAGAATCATAGAATCATAGAATCATAGAATAGCCTAGGTTGGAAGGGGCCTTAGAGATCACTTAATCCAACCTCCCTGTCATGGGCAGGGACTCCACCTCTCGACTAGACCAGGCAATGTCATTTCCATAACATTATTTTCACTCTCCATCCAGGCTTCAGAGAACTCACTGTAAAATATGGAGGTATAGGTGAAAATACATCATATCCCCCTCCCTGAAGTCTGCAGCGAGTTAGCAAGGAACAGGAAGGCAGAATTATTTCTTTTTGTATCCACCAACAACATGACCAAACACAGAGGGGAGGTTCTGGAATAGTTGGTATCAGAGATGCCAAAGATGCAACACACTAGGAGACATTCAGTTACCAAGACAAGTAGATTCACTTAGGCTGCAGAGAAAGGAAAACTTGCTGAGATTTTGACCTTTGGGCATAGTCATCTGAGTAGCGATGGCTGAGGACCCATCATGAAAATATACACCATGGAAGATACTGTTTGATCAGGTTGGTAGGTAAAGTAGTGAGTAGGGATAGTGTGCCTCTCATCTACAGCTCAGAGTAATGGTTTGGTGGACACAGTTCAAAACAAAATAGGAACATTTTTGCGTGAGAGGTCTGGGGAATATTTCACTCTCTGAAAATCTTTGAAATGTCAACTCCTTGTCTTGCTTTGAAACTAGAGCCAATGTTAAGATTCTGAAGTTTCTGTGGGATAGAAACTTCCTTTTCCAATGCATTCGAGTCCTGATCTAAATATATCCTAGGGGGGTTAGGAAGAAGAAGTCTCTTTCAATCCATAAAGGGCTGGGAAGGAAGCCCCTATCAGGAATGAAAATGGATTACTGCAACAAGTTGTGCCTGGAAATGTTCTGAAGTAAGCAGTTTTTATACTCACTTCTATTACATGTTAAGCTTCCTCCACTTAAAGCAGGGTAATGAAGCACAGACTTTCCACACTGAAATATTTTGAGTTTCAGATTGCTGAAGTGCGGTCAGAGGCTTCAACTGCAGATTGTTACTGCACAAAATGTCAGAAGCAGCTCCATTAAATTCCCTGACAATCTAATCCAAACCCCATTAAAATCAAGAAAATGCACCTACAAGTTCAATAGACTTTGGATTAAGCTCTTGCATATTTTTAAAGGTGTTCCTATGAAGCTCATTTCTACTGTGGTTAAATGCCCTTACACCAATGACGGTAGATCATGCAGAGCTCTGGAGGTCTCTCAGTTTCCTCACCAGAGTGAGGAAACCACAGGTGAGTAGCAACTATCTGCCCATTTCTTGCCACCTCTAAAGTGAGTTGATTTTTTATTCTCCTTACAGTTTTAGCATAAAAAAGTTAGTGAGAAAAAGTCAGAATAATAACAGCTAATCCTTAGTTGGCTGAGCCAATAATGTTTTCTGGCATAAGATACCACAGTTCTGCTCGGAGGTAAAGATCCCATATTACACTTTAGGCTGAAATTCCATACTTCATGCTGAGTTTGATTCTACCCTCCACTCCCAATTTTACTCCACTGACAGCCAGTGAGTTGGCAAAACAGAATAATAGGAATATACCTGAGATAGATTCACAAAACATTTTTTACAGGACACTGCAAGAAAAAAAAAAGTCATAAGTTAGAAGAGTAACTGCTCATGTATAGTTTAAAGGCATCAGGCTGAAAGTCCTACAATAGAACTTGGAACTAACTCACTGAGTGCGTGCATGAATGTTATGTGTGTACGTGTTCCCCTTGTGGACTTGAACTCTGGCTCAGTTTAGCAGATTTTTCCAGAAATAAAACTGGACCAGCAATGACAGGTTCTGCTTCAGCTCTGTTAGCCTGGAAATGCCCTGAAGTAAGAAATTTTCATAATAATTTCTATTCAGTATTAAGAAACTCTGGGCAGGAAATAATGTAATAAAGCAAGCTTG